CACACCAGGATGGCACCATGAGCCTCCCCCTCAGCCCCTTGAAGCATCCATCCCTCACCCCATGCCTTTCCCCAAACTTCCCCAGCCTACCTGGCCAAACAACCTTCCCGCTGCTCCCAAGTCCCTCTTCTGCCCACTGAGGCCTGTCCAAGGGAGGGGATAGATCCAGGCTCCATCAGTTATCAGTCCTAGCCCCTGGGCAGAGCCCTTGTCCCCTCCTAGCTTAGTTTCTTTGTGTCTAGAAAGAAGATATCACTGCCACCCTGGCTTCTTGACTAGAATTATTGTGAAGCCCAAGTGAGAAAATGTATGAATGAATCTGAAAACTAAAGTGCCTTCCAAACATACATGCACTGTCCCAAGAAGCTCTAAAGACTGTCCTGTCACTGGAATAAACACACAGACTCCTCACTCTATCAGTCTTCTTGATGATCCTCTGGGATCCCCGAAGAGTAGGAAGTCCCAGCAGGCTCCCACAGACCTACCAGCCACACAAGGCAGCCTCCAGATGTACCTTGGGGGACAAGGGCCAAGTCCTCATCTCAGAGGAATTCTGGGGACACTATCGCTTTCCATAGCCTCTCAAGTCTTCATCCCTTGAGCACCCAAGCTCTGGGGCTTGGAAAACATTCTCCCCAAGTCTGTCATAACCCTGTGTTTTAAATGTTCTGTGGTCCATAATAAATAATTTCCATAAAGGCCGGCTAGCTGAAACACAGCGGGATAAACAAAACACAGTAACCCGGATCTCATCTGACCAGCCAAACCCAGAGACCTCATGACTACAAAGGAAAAGGAGTCACCTTAACACAACTTCACGCTCCATGAAAAGACCATGATGGAGAGGAGCTGTGAACTGTGACATCTCCAGCTAATTTTACACGACACAAATACAAATGACCATTTTTCCTAATTATGAGAAATAATGAAATCTCCTCTCCCCCTTTCTATTCATGTTCTATAGTCAAAGGTTCTGGCCAATTTAAAACATTTGGTGCAAAAAAAAAAAATATCAGGACATTGTTCTTAAGAAGAAAAAAAATCTAATGGGTTTAATTCTAGTGGGCAGAGAAGAATATGAGCTTATCCTGCATGGTGGTACAATGAGTTAATTACCATCTCATCCTAAGACAAATGTACTTGTCACTGGAACGGGAGCCATTATTTCACACAAAATAATGACCCACGTAAAAAGCAATGACCGCAAGCTGTAGCAGCCAGCGACACAGCTTCATCTGGCCTAACTGAATGGCAATTAACAAGTGTCACCATACATATGTAAACAGGGCCTAAGCTATTCATTAAATATTTACAAGAAAGAACAAATGGCTTTCAGTCTACTTCTCAGGAAGCACCTGTGTTCTTCTACCTGTGTAATGACAGGAAAATTTACACACAAAATTCTGCCATCACTGGAATAGCTGCAGGCCCTGGAGAGGAGCACTTAGATTTCCTCTGCTCTTTGCACACAGAGGTGGTGTTCTCTCTAGAAATTGTGTCCAAAGACAGAAAAGAAGAGCAGAGGGAAACACACCCAGTCACATCATTTTGTCCATCTTCTTGAGTTGTCAAGGCCACTGGCCCAGAATCTAAAGCCCAGATTGACAGCCAGAGATGATGAATCCTTCCAAGCCCAGATCTTATCCAGACAGGGTGGGGGTAAATGATGGGGTGACCTCAACAGAGCTGGCTCCTCCAAGGAAGCAAAGATCATAAATCACCCTTCTGTTGAGAGGCAAGAGACTCAGGGATACACATCTGGTGATGAGCTCCAGATCAGAAATCTCAGAGCTGCCCTTCTGTGCAAGTTGTCTAGTCTGACCCAATCCAATAATTTTTATATGGAAGCCAAGGGTACAACAGTAGCAGAGTGTCACGGTGAGCTCTAAAACATACCATTTCCAAATGTTAAAAACAGAATTCTTATACAAGTACAGAATGAGCAGGTGTCAATCATTTATTGAACAAATTAACTAAAGTCTTTGGATACTGGTATGTACACCCATGCACACTAATGAATGTAAAAAAAGATTCTGGGATAAAAATCTCAACAAAAGCTATTTTTGTTGGTCACTGACCAAAATACCTGTCAAAAACAACTTCGAGGAGAAAAAAGTTTATTTTGGGTTCATGGTTTCAAAAGTCTCAGTTCATGGTTGACCAATTCCATTGCTCTGGGTCCAAGATAAGGCAAAACATCATAGTGGAAGGGCATGGAAGAAGAAAGCTACTCAGCTCAGGGCAGCCAGGAAGCAGAGAGAACGCTAGGAGGCAGGCACAAAATATGATCCCCGAGAGCACACCCCCAGTGACCCACTTCCTCCAGCCACACCCCCACCTGCCTATAGTTACCACCCAGTAATCCATTCAAATTATTAATCCATCAAATGGATTAACCCACTGATTAGGTCATAGCTCTCACAACCTAATCACTTGGCCTCTGAACATTGCTGCTCTGCCACATGAGCTTTTGCAGGATACCATATATCCAAACCATAAGACTGGCTAATGTCCCCCAGGGCATAAAACCCATAACTTCGTGGCTATCTTCTGTTGGAAAGATGTCCATCTCTACTCCAGTATAAGAGGAACATGGCATCCAAGTGGCCCATAAATTAGACTATGGATTCTTTAACACCCATACAGGTACAATGCAATGGTCAGTCCTGTGATGGTCTGGTTTGGTTGAGATCAAGGCACAATATCACTTGTTTTCCAAGAGCATATTTGATAAAATAGAGAGAGCCTCAGGTCCTTATCTTATCCAGACATTCCTCATATATTCCAAGCATCGCATCCTTAATTATAACACCCATTTTCAAAATTATGTCTCCTCAGCCTTCAGACCATCAAGCGATTTCCTGCTCCAGGAGCCCGCACCCAAGTTGACTAGGGAACAGTAATTGCAGCAATCCAAAAAGGATGGCCCTATTTATACAACATCTACGTGAGTCAGGAAAACGTGTGTGTTCTCAAACTTAGGCATATGTAAACAAAACCTACATCCCCCCCCCCATTCCCAAATCATCATCTGAGTTCTATCATCATCTTAGTAGAAGTACCAGAAATTCTGACCTAAGACATCATCTGATTCCTGATCTACAGGTCTTAGCTTTTATCCGTAGGAGTGGTTATTACCAAGGCCCTGGGGGGGGGGGGGGACAGTGAATACTCAATAGATGTTGAGAGGTCAGGAAGAAAACAAATATCCTTTAACTATTTCATTTGCAAAACTCCTCACAATGACTTCCCACTTTTTGTTGTTTTTTAAAAACAGCCAAGTGCCAGCGCTCTCTTGCTAGTCCCAATCACCTCTGTTTTTATAGTGGCCCTTGTGATACTTTTAAATTAATCTTTTAAAAAAATTTTTTAATTGTAGGTGATCACAATACCTTTTTTATTTCTGTGGTGCTGAGGGTTAAACCCAGTGCCTCACATGAGCTAAGCAAAATTCTACCACTGAGTCACAACCCCAGCTCCACTTCTGATCTTTTGATTCTACTCACCCTGTGTCAGGCCTTGCTTGGAGGCGCCCCAGCCTGCCCCAGCATAGCTGCTGCCCCATGGACTCTGCCTCATCCTCCCACCTCAGCTTGAGGCACTGTCCAGATGTCTGGTCCACACTTGACCTGGCATCCACTTGCTCCTCAGCCCAGCTGCTTCCCTCCTGGCAATGCTCATCAGCAGGGTCTGTCTGCCCACTAAGACAATGCCAAGGAAGCACCACAGCTATTAGTTTGTTCTCTAAATCCTGGCCCAAAATTCAAAGCCAATGCTATTAATGAATTCACTAATTGGCTGATTGGGCCTCAAACAAACAACATCTACCTGTACAGGGCACTGAATTGTCAATTATAGTCATGGACATTTTGGTCAGTGATAGACTACATATATCACTGTGGTACCAGAAGATGATAATGGAAAAACTCCTATTGCCTACTGATGCCATAGCCACCCTAACATCACAGAATCACACACTCCCATGTTTGTGCCGGTGCTGGTATAAATAAACCTACTGCACTATCAGTCCTGTAGAAGTAAATCACATAAATACAAACAGTACATAAAATGGATAATAAATGACTATGTTAGTGGTTCATTTAACAAACCATATTTTATCTTTATTTTATAGCGTACCTCATTTACTTAGATAAAATTAAAAGTTTACTGTAAAATGTGTGCCATGTGATGCCTGCAGCAGACTCATGCTCCATGGTTTTTAAGAGGCCCTGTCGAGTTTCAGACCTGCACCTCGCAGGTTAGTGTAAGCACACTCCATGATGTTTGCACAGTGAGAAATCTCCCAGTGACGCAGTTCTCAAACACATACCCATCATTAAGTGACTCACAGCTGTACTTTGGAAGACTGGGTAACGAAGGATAAACACTAAAAAATTCTCAGCCCGGTTTTGGGCAAGGACATTCTTTCTGCAGTAAATGTTGTACAGAAACTCAAGTGGACCCTGCAATTAGGCACAGAATCTCATATGGCATAAAGACAAGCTCAAAACTAGACACACTGCTGGGCGGATGAGAATTCCCTGCCTCTAGCAGGGAATTCTCCCTGATGTAACTACAGGTCAGTGGCCATGAAGTCTGGCATATCCCCATACTAGCTCAATTTTTGAGCTGGTGGCAACAAAAATTGGAGGAGACATGGGATCTGGGAACTCGCACCACCTTGAAGGTTTGAGACAAAGACCCAACAGTGGGCCTGCAGGTCTGATGCTGTTAGCAACATTCTAGCCCTAAAAGACACGACCAAGGGTGCTGACAGCCTGGGATGGAGGGGGCGGCCACCTTTCCAGAGTCAACTACAGCCTGAGCCATGTGTGGGAACAGAAGCTCCCTAGGAGCACTGGTCAGGAGTCTAGGTCGCAGCTCCCCCCAAGGCCTCTGGAGTGTGTCTGTCTGATCATCCCCAAACCTGCTCGCCTGACTGGTCACTCAGGCAGATGCTCTGTGAACCTGAGGGACTGAGTCCTGCCCACAGCACTCACCTTCTTAATGAACTCTGGGATGATTTTTTGGTCTGTCAAGTGGTCTAAGGAGGAACAGCAATCTAATTCCAAGATGTAACCTTCATTGTGAAGATCAGTCTTCTGAGATCTGAAAAGAGAAATACACACACAAAGACTAAGATGCTGCAGGATATAATTTTTTGTTTGTTTTAAATCACTGGGCTAGGTGCACACGCCCATAATCCCAGCAATTCAGGAGGCTGAGGCAGGAGGATTGTGAGTTCAAAGCCAGCCTCCATAAAAGCAAAGCACTAACGACTCAGTGAGACCCTGTCTCTAAATAAAATACAAACAATAGGGCTGGGGATGTGGCTCAGTGGTCAAGTTCCCCCAAGTTCAGTCTCCTGTATCCTCCCCACCAGCCAAGAAAGAAACCACTGAATGTTTAATAAAGCCCCCCTGCCTTTTTTTCCCCAGAAAATAGCTAAAAAATAATTTATGGTCCACAACTCAAAGAATATATACAGTTCTATGACATAAGACGACCTCCAAGACATGGAAAACCTCACTAGAGAATGGTAGGTTCAGTATAGTATGGCTTATACAGTAAGCAACACACAGACACTCCAGGAACATATGACCCATTGGATTCTATCTTCCAGGGCACAGGAAAAGACCTAGTAAGACACAATCCAAGCCAATAACAGCAGTTACCTCCAGGCATGGGGAGGGTCTAGTTAGGACCTAGGGTTTAGGGTGGGATGGGGTGCCAATTCAAAGACACTTTAGTCATAAATTTCTACATTTTTTAATTAAGAGAACATAATCATATATCACTTGGAAAATTAATTTTAAAAAGACTTTGAAAAGGTTCAACCCCTACAGAGGGCAATCTGGCAACATCTCTCAAAATTAAAAAATGCTTCAAAGAAAGACCAGGAGGCAACTCAAGGTAGATATTCTGGGACAACTGACTGTGAAGGGTGGTGTGAAATAAAGGCTTTTGGTCTGGGGAGAGGCTTGCCAGCATGCCCTGCCATCTCTGCACACAGGGCCCCTCCATGCATCCCCACCACGGAGACATGTACAGCTCACAGCTCAATCCTGTACGCCATTCAGGAGAACCAGCAGCAAGCGGTCACCGAGGTGAGCCTCACTCTTCAGAGTCATCCCTTCTCAGGCTTCTAAATGACACCAACAGGGTGGGTCTGGGGAGCTCCTGGAAACCACACAGTTGTGGTAAATTGAAGGGGATTCCACTGGCCCAACCACAAAACAAAGAGGGGCAGTTAGAGATCAACAGGACACACCCTGTCCCCCAGAAGGCTGGAGACCAGGGCTCTGGGCTCCCAGTACAGGGCTCACACCACATACACAACCACTCTGCCCTGGTAGAGGAGTGAGCAGGGGCCTCCCAGCCACCCCCGCTCCACAGAAAAGGGGCCCCTGCCACTCCTGGTCAGACAATTCTTCACACTGCACTTCTGAGACACAGACATCTCACCAGTTTCTGAATGTAGATTTTTACAATTTTTTTAAATGAATTTCCAAGATTCTTATGTAGCATTAAAAGCAATTTATGCTACCATTAACCATCTGGGTATGATTTACATGAAATTTAAAAACGAAAAAAATGAAAGAGGATTTGCTTTTCCGCAGGTGTGCAACTGTGGCTCGGTAAGCAAACTTCAATAGCATATTTTTAAAAATTTTTCCTTCTAATGTATCCTTTCTGGGGTACAGTAATGAGGTGCATATGTTTGAAATGTAAAAGAATAAATGATTCTAAACTGGTTAAAAATGATTCTAAACTGGTTAACCTGGAATAAACTAATTCTAACAGAATAATTCAATTCTGAACCCTAGCCTTCTTGCCTTAATACTTGGTCAGAGACTAGGCTCCTGTTTTAGATCTTCTAAGAGGGAGAAATGAGAACACAAGAGTCCAGACTTTAAAAGAGAACACTTAGCCAAGACTTGCTGTCATATGTATCATATGGGGTCTCAAACAACAAAGATTGGGATAGGGCTGGGAGTTCTCAATGTAAAATCTGAGGTATTCTGTCACATGGAGACTAGAGTCAGACTCTACAATGTGATAAATATCATTGAGATTTTAAATGATTAGGTTGAAAATTTTTAATCATTTTAAAGCCAGTCCATACACTGGGTATGGTGGCTCATGCCTATAATCCCAGCAACTGGAGAGGCTGAGGCAAAAGGATCATAAGTTTGAGGACAGCTTGGACAACTTAGTGAGATTCTATCTCAACATAAAAAAAAAAAAAAGAAGAGCAGGGGGATGTGGCTCAGTGGTAGAGCACCCTCACCGCACGCCAGCTTCACTTCCTGGTACCACACACATACACAAAAAATAAGTCAATGCCATATCCACTCAGCAAAACAATCATAAAACAACTGGAGAGAAGATGAGTTTCTCTGTAAGCAACCCATAACCCAGATTCATAAGGAATGATCTTTAGCACAGGAGAAGTTAATAGCTACTATCTTTGGTTCTGGAAAAAGTTCTATAACAATAAAGGCAGCTCTGGTTCATGTCACAGAATAATCACCACGGTCACATCTGAACTGAAGGAGGACGAGGATCAACAAGAACAGAAATTACAAATTTTCTACATGTACTCTGAATAGATTATATCTCAGCAGATGGTTTCTTGGAAAAGCAAACCCAGTGCACACTGGAAGAACATTATGAGCAACTGGTAAGCCTTCCCTTACCTTTAGGAATTTGCACCTCAATTTGAAATAAAAGGATGATGACACTGAGGAAGAGGTGGTAAGGGTCCCTGAATCCTCTGAGGACATACACCAGCTGCCCTGGAAGTCTGTGCTTCATGAGGGTACAGCTGTGGCCCAGGAGGGGCGAGAGCTTGGTTGATGGTCGCAGTTACACAAACACCCTCTCTCCCTGCCACTAACTCTATAGGAGGATCCACTAGCAAAGCTTGCCTACAGGGCTCCTGGGCACCAGGTGGGGAAGCAATGCGGTTGCCAAGGTACACACTTCCTAAGGTGACCCCTGCAATGGTCCTCACCTCCTTGAGTCCACACCTTTGAGCATTCCCCTCCCCTGAGTGGGCACAAGACCTAGGACTTGCTCATACTCAGTGGCACAGGGTAAGGAGATGGGTTGCCACTCCTCTGGCCACATTCTATTCTAAGACTCCACTTTGCAGGCTAGAGCTAGAGATTCCCCTAGCTGCCCTGAAGGAGGACACTGTCATTTTGTGAGAGGTCACATGGCAAGGAACTGTGGGTAGCCCCTGGCCCATAACTGCAAGAATATAGGATCTCAGTTCCATGACTATAAGGAAATAAACTGTCAGCAACCCTTCCAAGGAGCTTGGAAGTGGATCATCACCCAGTTGGGCTATCTAAATAGTGAGATAATCAATACATTTGTTTTGAGCCCCTAGGTATGGCAGAATTCACTTCAGAGCACAGAAAACTAATATTGTTCCTGAGGCGGAGGACTTGGCAATGCTGTGCTCAGAATAGGCCTCTTGCTGATGGACACTTAGACTCAGACCCACAAGATCTAGCCAGACACCTGAGAGCAGGAGCCACCTGGGGCAGAGAAATGAACATCTCCTAGAAGTGGCCTCCAGGGGCCAACGCGTGGCCATCCAAGGAACCACCACAGAAGGGAAGAGAGATTGTGAAGTCAATTAAGTTTCTAAGGAAGAAGAGCTAACCTGAAACTCCCAGCTGAGCAGGTTCCTGCTACCTCCCACAGGGAAGGGGAAATGCCAGTTATGTTGCCCTTACACCATTGTATCATTTCTGTTTTAGCCAGCTATTCTACTACTGTGACCAAAAGACCCGACAAAACAATTAGAGAAGGAAAAGGTTATTTGGGGGCTCACAGTTTCAGCGGTCTCAGTGCAGCGATAGCCGGAGCTATTGCTCTGGGCCTGAGACAAGGCAAAAACATCACAGCGGAAAAGTGTGACGGAGGCAAGTAGCTCAGGACACAGCAACTAGGAAGCTGAGAGACAGTTCCCCTCACCAGAGACAAAATATATACCCCAAAGCATGCCCCCAATGACCCACCTCCTCCAGGTACACCATACCTATCTACAGTTATCACTCAGTTAACCCCTGTCCAGGGAGTAATTCACTGATTAGGTTAAGGCTCTCTTAACCCAACCTGAACTTTCTTGCATTGCCTCACACATGCTTCTCGGGGATACCTCAGAGCTAAATCATAACAATCCTAGAAAAAGATATGGGAAGCCACCATACTTCCTCTGTATTGAAGCCCAGATGGCCCCCACTTCTGGCAAGGACAGAGATATCTGGGTTAAAACAGTAAGAAAAAGGAAGGACACAGAACACATTTCTAGAGATGCAGGATTGACTACCAGCAAAACTCCCTCAAGTCTACCTTGTCTGAAATTTAACACCAATGGTCTCCAATTAAATAAAGGTACTCTGAGAACAGCGTGGCTAACAGTAAGATGTACTGCCTCACTACTCTTCAGCCCCAATTTGGTAAATCCCACCAGATTTATTAGTTGGAGGCTGCAGGTTCTGGGGCTAACTAGACGAGGGTCATTTGCCAGTGGTGAGCCTCCAGGTAACTTACCAGGCTGCAATGTCCTTCACTCTGGGAATATTGTGAGCAGCTCTCTCCTGGCCCATGAGGAACTAGATAATGCAGACCTACAGCCATGGGGAAGATGGAATGATGGGAAGCCCTGAAGGGTATTTAAGTACCATAAGCTGAGTTTTTAAAAGCTCTCTCTGGCTATGGGCAGGGAGACAAGAGACCACCTCAGGGGTCCAGAGCAGAGAAGACGGTGGCTCAGAGTGGACTGGCTGGAATCTGGCTACATTTTCAAGATAGAATCTTCATAATTTCTCTGTGGAAAAGTTTTAGGGGGTGAAAGGAAGAAAGCTAATGATCCCAAGGATCCTTGCCCTAGGAACTGGAGAATGGATGAAATTGCCGCACTATAAGGGGGAAGGCTTAGGGGGCCAAGGCTTGCAGTGGTGGCGATTGCTAATTCAGGTTCAGAGGTGTTGACATTGACCTAGCCAGCTGACATTCCAGTGGAGATGTAATGTGTAGCTGAAAGTCTTTCAAATCTGGACTTCAACAGAGATGACCAGAGATAAAAACTT